TGTTTAATTAAGGAAAGTGCTTCCCCTTTTGCTTTTGGCACTTGGAAAGCTTTTCGTTATTATTCACTGAGCTTAAGAACAAATCACTAAATTGGCTCCAATCCTCGTATTTGCCAGAAAATGTAGGAATTCGAATTTTCTCAAACCTTAAATCAGCTGCTCCCGATAAGGTATTCATTCGTTCCAGAAGTTGGTTTTGTCACTCAAATAGACGTTCCACTGTACTTGATAGCAAAATGTTCGACTGGTCTTGTCCATGATCTTGACCACCCATCTCGTTTATGGCTTTAATAAAGATGGCATGCGCTCTGTAAAACTTGCCCTCGTACTCAGGTATATCCAATCCAGGGTCTTCATATCCCTCCTCCTGATTATATACCACTAAATCATCGGAGAGGTCCATAAAGTGGTTGAAGGTGGCTACAAGACGGTCCAGCTTCAGTTGCAATGTTTCCACATTATCACATTATCACATCACATCTGCGAAAACTTCAAAGCACTGTTAAGGGTACGAGTTATTTGCCCCTTGCATTGCCCGATGCATTACAGAGTTCATGACGGCGGCTAGTTTGTCTTTTATTATTCACAAATATCCGGCTCGAAGGACCAAAAATTTGTTATGTTGGCGAATTAAGTGGATTGTATTTCTTTTTTCTAGGATTCGAGTTTATTTCTTAATTACAATGGTTTACGTTTACAATGTGTAAAGCGGGGCAGGTTGCGAGCGGTTGCGTACGAGTCAAAAACTATACAAAAACTGCCGAAAAAACGTGCAGAAAATATAATGCAGAAAAACGCGTGATACTGCAATACCAATGCAAATTTACTGCCATTTCGTCTATGCGTGTGAGCTTCAAGCTTTGAGACGAAAAGCAAAACACATACTTTATAGGGTCGGAAACGCTTCCTTCTATCGGTTACATACTTTTCAACGAATCTAGTATACGCTTTTACTCTACGAGTAACGGGTATAAAAATTGGCTTTGCTCTCATCTCGCTCTCAATTATCGGCAACGGCTATGCTAGGCAGAGAATATAATTTTCTGCTATTGCTATAGCTTAGCTCGCAACTCGTCGAACCTCCGAGCAGAGCAGAGCACATAATTTTTCGTAGTTCTGCTATGGCTCTGCCCCAGCTCTTGTCATATTGAAAGCGGTAGCAATAACAGAATGAAATACTACGAAAGAACTTGTATTATGTAGTTTTTACCGCCAAAATTAATCGCATTAATTTTCTATGTTATTTTTAAGTGCGAGAAGCGCTTTTTTTCAACAGTGTCTATAACATCTTTTAACTCTTTTTAGCCTTCGCGCGGCGCCTTGGAAAAATGCACCAGAAAAAATATGTACAGTACATATGTATGTTATGCAGGTGCATACAGCATGGGCTGTGTCTGACTGACGTCATTGTTTCCATTTCTTAGAAGTTTGACATTTAATCTATGTGGCCAGATGAAATCTTACACCAAGCTACAATGCAATCTCTAAATGCGTATTCTCAAGCCTAACTTTCTAGCTCTTTTAGTTCTCCAGATTATCGCATTTTAGGTTTTCCGTCTTTTGTAGGCGCTATAGGGGGCGTGGCTAGATTAAAAATCATTAAAATGATTATATTATTATTATATTATTATTATAAATTATTTCAGTTTTTACAAAACCTAACCTTACCGATCGAAAAAAGATCTTTCATAAAAATACCTTGGGGTTACGGCTACCCGAGACGGAAGACTTGCATTCAACAGCCGTATTACGTGCCTACAGCTATCCTTCAGGAGCAGGGTTGCCCGTATGTCATGTCTTCTCGCAAAACAAAACAAGCTATCTCTGGGTTGCATGGTCATAATATATAAGGCCATACAACGCACATCTTTTATTGTTTGTAGGTGTACGGTAATTCCTTTGAAAAGCAACATTAAAAAGATTAGCATCCTGATTAAACTGAAACCTTCTTGTTATCTGAAAACCAGCGACATAGAGCGGGATCTTAAGATGTCCATACTTGGTGATAAGCTACAGGAGAAATACATGATAAGTCACAATGCACATCCTAACAGCTAAGCCAGAAAACTTGAAACCAGTGCAGACCCTAGAACAGAGTCAAAAGAAGACTGAAGAGACACCACCCTACCCTTAAGATCTTCCAGACCGGGCTTGGATTTAACTGTAAATATAAATCATTACCCCTACTTCTTCCTATAATACTTAGCTTTATCATAAGTCTGTTATATCTACATATATAAAATAGAACGTGCAGTAATTAGATTAAGTTGTCACATGTTCAAAAGTGCGGTAGTCATCAAATAAAAATGTATATTAATCATAAAAACTCTACAACAGTATTAAAGCACAATAATAATAATAAAATTACCATATATCAATCTAGTGGCAAATTTAAAGGTCTTTAAAGGTTTAAACTCATTTAATTTTTAACCCTACTTTTGTATGACGGTCGGACAATGAATGTGGACTAACATAAAAGGGCACACGAGAGTAACAGACATCTGTTAACTTTCGACGTTTTTGACATTTTATCTACATAACGTTAATTGTCTGACGCTATCGCACCATATGGATTTGAAGTTATTTTTTATATAGAACTACACACAATGATAGTCAAATATGGAATGATTTTAACAAAATAAAACCAAGCAAATAGTTGATAATAAGCTACTATGCTAACGGCTTCAGTATTATTGATGGTTAATTATCATAAAAAACAAAATAAGAATACTACAAAAAGTTGGTGCAGAACTTGGCTAGAAATATTACATACATATACATACATAGTTGTTTGATAGAAGTTAGTAGTTGTAATATCTAATAAATTATCCTTATTATCTTGACAAACTAGGCCTCTATTCTTAGTTCTTGAATGTTACTAACATTTTACAAGAGTTTGAATACATAATCGGGGTTGAGTTTTACGTTATTGCTTGACGGCCCAGCAGCACTGTGTTGAACTATCCCGCGCAAAGAAAACCACAGAAAATGATATAATCGTTTATTCTACAAATTACGCAGTGGCAAGTTGAAAATAAATTCAAAAGCGAAAAATTTCGTAATTCTGATATTTTTGTGAAAACTTCCTAATGGTTAGTGTGACCCTACATTAGTGGGACCAGAAAGGCTAGCTCCTGCAGCGAATTATGCACTTAGGTATTGGCCGCCTTTTAGACTGCAGCCACACTAATTTTATGTTGATTTTTAGCGGGGGTGGTCGTGTGTCGGTTGAATCGGAGCGAAGCCGTTAAACAGAAAGCAAAGTGCAGCTACTGGCATTCAAGTTGAAAGGGCAGCAATTAAATGTAAGAAGCAACGCCAATGCTTAACAACAAATACCGCTGATTGTCCAGTCGAGTAACTGTATATTTCGTGTAGTGCGCAGAGCGAAAGGAAAATCTAATACACAAAAAGTAAAGAGCCAAATTGTTGTTAAAACAGAGTGTGTGCGTGTGAGTGAATTGTTGTGTGCGATAGTTTTTGTTTTGTTAGTGAGAGAAAATCGGAAAAAGGGCGTCGCAGTTTGAAAATTGATGTGTGCATAAAAATCAAGCGCTGCAGCAGCCAAAAAAAGGAGGGGAGAAGAGGCAGAGAGCGTGAAAAACGGAGCGGAGAGTGAGAAAGGAGAGGCAGTGAGAGCGGATGGCTGCACCTCAATAACTGTTGTTGCAAAGGTGAGTGCGTGCCGAATATTGTTTATAGTTCAAAGTTGTTTATTTAAGTGTACTCGCAACCAGGCCCACAGACACATAACCACACGCACTCACGTACATACACTTATATGTACCTGGGGCCCATGTTCGTGTGTTTGTGCTGCTCTGCTGGTTATTCTTTATGCGGAAAAAAACTGCTGGATTGATCCAGAGTTTTTGTTTTCGTTTCTTAAGAACTTTTAATTACTCTGACCTAAGATGTGTTAAGAACAGACTATACGAAAAGTCAAATAATGTACTTGGTGGATTTAAAAAAAATTGAACAGTTCTTGAGAAACATAAAGTTATGTTGTTATTTCCGATTTCAAAATAAAATGTTTCTGTTATTTAGATTTTAAAATCGTTACTTAAAATCGTTCTTGAAAAACATAAAGTTATGTTAAAAAAAATGTTTCTGTCATTTAGATTTTAAAATCGTTACAAATTAACGAACTTACAAATAACACATTTATGTAAAAGTTTCAGTATGCTAATGCAAAAAATAATTGAAAAAAAATTGTTTCCATTTTCTGTTCCTTTTAATGTGTTTTTTGAAAAATTTGTTAAAAACAAAAAGTCACAAAAAAAGTTATTTTTACCTTATTCCTTTACAATAAAAATATCTTTAAAAAATATTATTACCATCAAGTCTTAATGTTTATTATAAAAGAAATATATTCTATTTTTATGACTTTTAAAGGTAAATCGACACTTCCCGAGCGACAATAGTTGGTAATTAAATTGTCTGAGATCATATCATAACAAGGGGAGCTGTAACTCCGCTCCTGGAAAACGATGGCTTTTGCTGCCAGTGCACTTTGATTTCATTTCGTTGAAGCAACAACCTCCACCACCCCCTGACATATGTATGCATAACACAATTAACGTTAATAGCAACTTCAATTCAATTCATAATAGTAGGGAATGCGTTTTGTGGCTTGGCAACAATCACACTCTCCTTCCACGTCTCTCGATCAATTCACTTAGCTGCACATTTTGTGTGAGATCGTCTTGAGCAAGTTCGTCTTTCTATAGCCTCCTCTTCCTGTTTGTTGTCACTATCGTTTTGTTGCATTTGTTGTTGCTCGGAGACAGGCACGGTTGAGTCTACAACAACACGTTTTTGTCAGCAATTGAATTAAATTCAACGGGAATGATAAATGTAAGCGGTCTTAAACTGAAAAGAATCGGCATTTATAGCGAGGCTATTTCTGCACAGAAAAAAAAGTGTTGCATCTTTTCTTAAACCGTTTAAATAAACAATATGACTTGGTTACGTTGTTCAATTGGAATTACATTTTTTTCAATGGGTCTATAAATCTTTATGATTATACTGAACTTTGCCAAAACTATCATATATTAGAAAGATGTGTTTATCTTTCGTATTTTTTAAAGTTGTTCACCTTAAAGTTGTGGGTCAACCTTATTAAAAAATTATATAAAAATGTATTTTAAAAATCGAAATGGGCTTAGGTTTTAAATTTGTTTTATTAGTTCCTATTTTTCTTCAGTGTAGCCTTCTTGCTCGCACTCGTTTGCTTGTCAGCTATTTCTGGCGCAGTGTTTATATTATTTATTTAATTTCGTGTGCAGATCAACCTTCTCCCCTCTCCTCACACTCCCTCTCTCTCTGCCACCGACTAATCTCTTTTGGTCGTGACAACTGATGATTTTATTTATGATACTCGGAGCTTACATAGCTAGCATATGCATATTAAATATTTCATTGAAAATTCTTTCGGCCAAATGTTTAACTGCGCGCGCTCATTTCGTGTTTGATTTGGTTTTTAGAATTAGCCACGAGCGTGAAAAAGCTTTAGCTCCTTACTTTGTTGCCAACGGCGCCAAAAACACTTGAGAGCAACAACAAATCTGGACATTTGGAATTTTGAAAGCCCACAAGAGTGCGAAGACCTAGACATTGGTCTATGATGACGTCAAAGAGCAGGTGGGCGTTGGGCGGTGGATGGAGCGGATGAGAGCTGAATTATAGTAGAGGAGATTAAGGCAATTTAATTGTTATTTAGCCACGGGTGTTACTTTGCGGGGGATTTTAAAGTAATCGATTAGCATGCCAGAAAAGGAGACTAATCATGGTCATTAATATGAATTTAATAAATTGTGGTTAATCACAAAAATAATCTGAAGACTATACATAAGTGTAAACATTTTTTATTTACTTTATGTAATATACTTCAATCTTGCTTTAACTCAACAAAATCACAATGAACCCTCATCTAAGTATTGATCAAAAAGAATAATTTCTGCCATGATCTTCACATTTCCTAATTACCACTTTTCCTTGTGCTGATACGGGCCTTCCGTCTATCTCCCAATGATTGATCAATTCGCTTTCCATCATTAATTATCTACACTAATTGGCTTTCGCTTTCCCACAGCCTTGATCGAAAACAGTTTTCAAACGAACCTCCCAATAAATGACTTTCGGATATGACCGAGTCCCAGTTTCTGTTTTCAAACTTCCGAAAACTCCATTAATCTCCGAATATCGTGCATTATGCAATATAATCAAAGCATAAAAAAAGAGCACGAAAGCACGCAAATTATTTGCATATTTATTTAGGTTTGTTGATGTGGGGAAGGAAGCCATGAAAATAGCAGCAGAGTGAAAATTATATTGGGTTTTATTTTGGTCTTGAACTTCTGTCGACTCAAACCGATTTAATTCGATTTGTTTTTGTTTCTGTTTCGCCACGATGTTGTTTCTTTCTGTTTGTTCTGTTTATTCTCTGTTGTTTTGGGCGTGTGCCCAGAAGAGAGAAGCAAGAGCAAAGAGAGTGCCATGTGTGAGTTCGATTTGGTTTTGGTCCTGGCAACAAGCAACGCACCCAACAAAATGTCTCACATGGTTTCTACCTTAGTAAATATTTAAAAAAACACCCCAGATAACCCAAAATCCGCTTTTAATCTTTGTTCTATGTATTTTAAAAAATACTACATACTTTTACTACTGGATGTTTAAGCAGCACTCAAAACCTTGATTAGATTCGTCTGAGAATTTTTTCCCACTTTCCCACTAATCGTACAGATTACGTTTATTAATCATAATTGATGAATAAAAGAATGTTCAATTTGTACTTTAATGTTTCTTAATTTAACACAGACCATATAAAAAACGATGACTTTTCAACGGAATTCTGAGCTAAATACGCAGAAATGGTAGAGGGGAGTGCCTTGGAATGGAATTTCTTTCATAGATTAAAGTTCGGTAACCAAGGTAAATTTAGGATTATGGCTCTTTTCGGTTTGCTGATGATGTCAGGCATGCTAATTTAGATTAAATGCTTATATCTATACCATTGGCTAGACTACTATATACTTTATTTGTAGAGTTCGTTATTCATCAGTTTTCCAGGGAATCTACATAGTTCAAAACATATATTATGAGTAGATATTTCTCTTGGCAGTGAGTGGTCCACTTAAAGAGTGTGTTCTTTATGAAAGAAAGTATCCGTTACTGAGTGAATCATCCTCTAAAAAACGCTCGACAAGATGACCAAATATGACAATGACCTTATATGTTAAACTAAACTACAGCTTTTTGCTTGCTATTTTTGCCGTTGTCGCTCCGATGGCCCCACACATAAGTTTCAACAACTTCCGTTGTGAAAATTTACACATAAATTGTTAAATTGTTTTGCACAAACAAAAAGAGTCAAACAACAATAGAAACGACAGTTTTCACTTTCACCTTTCGGTTGTTGTGTGTATGGAAAATGGAAAGGGTTGAGGACTTGTCAATCAATAATTTAATATTTGTTTTCAAGACGTGCAAAAAAGCCAGGAAGACAACGAGTCACACCCAATAGTGGATGGTCTAGGGAATAAAAAGTCGTTTAATGTGATTTTGATGGCAGAGGTGGATCATTGTATACCTTGGTGCATAGTTTATGGTTTATTTAGTTTAGTTTAGTTCAGATTCAGCCAATTTGTTAAGAGTAATTTTCAAAAAGAACAAACTAAAAAGTACATTATAAAGTGAAGTACTTTTCATTATTCTTGGATATTTGGATGAGCTAAGATTATAGTTCCTTAAAAAAGTTATGTTTTTTCCTTTTTAGTTTCAGTGTACACATTTGTTTGAGAACAATTTAAATTCATCAAGCGAATGGATTTAGCGTCAGCAGCAGGCACCAATGAATCATTTCGCGTTGGGGGCTTAAAAAGTGGGTGGGGATTGAACCCCTCCTCAGGCTGTTCTGCCTCGTTCTGGCTTCTTTGAAAACACAAGCCAGCTCACAGCAAAACGTGTTTTGGTCTGTTTTCTTTGTGTATTTACGCTCTGGGTTTTGATTTTGGTTTATGTTTCTGTTGCTGTTTCTGTTTCTGTCTCTGTTTCTCACTCGACAAAAAACAATGACCAAATTAAGCATAAATATTTTTGTTATTGTGTATTTGCCAAGTTAGCAGTGTGCTTTGTGTTTTCCTTTCCGGTTTTATCGGTTTTCATGAGTTTGATATTTAAGGCACGACAGCGGCACTCGCAGCGTCTCATTTGTTTATGCCGCTTATTTAGTTTATTTATTTTTTCATATTTGCATTTTAGTCATGCGAGCTTTTTGCTGACGACGCTCGCTCGTCGGCCAATTCAT